CGGTGAGCCTTGACCTTTACAACTTTCGCTGAGTCGCCAACTTTGGACCACCACAGCTTCCGCATGTGACGGCGACTGTTGTCAGGACTCAGGGCGGTGGACGAGGAGGTGGCACACGCAACAGACCCAGCGCAATCACTGAATACTTCAAGCGGCACCCCAACATCTCCGACACACAGGGTTCACTACATCTGGCCAACATGTGAAACGCGTCGTCTTCCCCGTCCCGCGCCCACTGGTCACGGCCTCACCCCCGAGGGACCGCCTCATACATGCAGGCAATGAAATTGCCTCCATTGTCTACTTGGGCGGCTGACCATCCTGCTCTTCTGCAGGCGCCGAACTTCGTGTGAAACGCTGAACCGTCCACAAATATGGGCGCCCCCCAGCGCCATCCAGGCATGGCCCCGACAAAGCGGACTTAATTCTCCTCAGGCGCCTCGGGCTTCCAAAAAAAAGCAGCGCTCGGGGGAGGGAAACAAACACCTGGAAAACATTTCAGCCTCATCCTAGACGAGCCACGTTCCAGGCAGCCTGCCGAAGGCTAGCGGGCAGGTCAGTCCTGCGAAGTGCGGCCGAGCAGGGGCAATCAAACCCACGGTGGAAAAGCGTGCCCCTGCAGCCACATAAAAAAACATTTGTCCGACACCGATTTTTTATGCTTCGCCAGCCTCGCCTGAAGCCAATGGGTGCCCGAAACCAGACTACGGACCAGGTTCCGCTCATGCCGAGAAAAAGCCTTTATCAGCCTTGCCGTGCAGACTCCTGTCAAGGGGCCTCCAGTGAAGCTCTGAAGCCCAGGAGCCGAGCCTCTTAAACGCCTGGATGTCGGATGCTGCCGAGGCCATGCGCCGAGCTACCTCGACCGCACGCCCAGGCGAAAAGAACTTCAAATCCACCTCCCCCTCAGGCCCAATCAGCTTGGTGGCAGAGGCCGTGCCCTCTCCAACACGAGCGAGGGCGAGGAGGAGGGCTTGGGCAGGGTTGGTGCACTTGCCCCATGGAGCCTTCTGTCTGAGAATCGAACGACCCCCCTCCAGAACCGCCTCCAAGACCCCTTCAGACGGCAGAGAGGTCTCCAAGCAGGCAGTCCACGCTTTACAACTTCACCCGTGTGAATCAGCAGGGGGTCCCTCCAGAACCCCCGATACATCGTCTTTATTCGGAGCCCTACACTGGCCCCCATGGGGAGCCTACCCTCAGACGTCAGGGCCGAAACCCTCAGACCACTGAGTTTCCCATCCGCAATTCCTGTCACCGCTGAGCCCCAGATGGCCGTAGCCGTGGGAGAGCATCGAACGACCTTCTCAACCTTGGCGCCCACCGCTCTCAAAGTATGGAGTTTTTGTTCCACAACACTGCGCAGCACGCCTGACGATACATCTCCGCCGAGGCAGCGGAGGCCCCTGGCACGCTCGAGCTCGCCCTCCCAGGACGAGGCGAGGATGCTGGCGAGCTCGGCATCGCCGGTGAGCCAGCCAGTCTTGTCCCAGTTGACCTGCAGCTTCCTCTCCGAGAGGCCCTCGACCACGAACCGAAGAGCAGCGGGTAGTTGCTCTCCAACAAGGCGCGCAGTGCCGAGTGCTTGCAGCATCTGGTCATCCACGAGCGACTGCGCTCTCACCAGAGGATACCGCCGCACCTGCTCCATCAACAGAGTGTGAACCATCAGTTTGGCGAGCCCGAGCGCACAGCTGCAGCCCGCGGCGATCGTGCCATTGGCATACACCACCACCGAGAGGGCCCCCTGGTACTGCGCTCTTCGCCCAAGCGTGTACGCACAGCAGAGCGCCCGCAAGAGCGCCAAGGGGAACTGCGTCGCCTTCGCCTCGCGAAGAAGAGTATCGCGCGACACATGCTCGTAGTACTTGCTGAGGTCCAGCGCAGCCCTGCCCGAAGCCATGCCGTCCACCTGCACGCAGTACGCGGCAAGCAGGTTGTGGACGTGCCCTGCTCGGTCGCACGTCCTGCCCAGGCCTCCCCAGTAGAAGTCGCCCTCCAGCTGCCTCTCCCACTTGGCCACCAGCGGCTGCCTCAGGCGACTCCATAGCCGCAGCCACAGGCAATTGAGCACGATCGGTCGCACTCCTCCCCCAGGTGGGGGCTTGGGCAAGAAGGAGATCAGCATGAGAAAGAGGCGCATGTCGATCGGGTCCCGCTCCCACGCGTGCAGCACATCCAGAAACCTCGACTGGTAACTCTGCGGCAGCCACCGCAGCTGCCTGGGATGGAACTTGTCCCAGCCAAATCCTGCCCTGTCGCTGTAGGTGTCGACCACCTCCCTCAAGGAGGAGAAGGAGGAGGAGGAGGAGGATGTGGAGGAGGAGGAGGAGGGGGAGGAGGAGGAGGAGGAGGAAGAGAAGAAGGAGGAGGAGGAGGAGGAGGGAGGAGGGAGGAGGAGGGGAAGAGGAGGGGAGGAGGGAGGAGGAGGAGGAGGAGGAGGAGGAGGAGGGAGGAGGAGGAGGAGGATGAGGAGGAGGAGGAGGAGAAGGAGGAGGGGGGAGGGGAGGAGGAGGAGGAGGAGGAGGAGGAGGAGGAGGAGGAGGAGGAGGAGGAGGATGAGGAGGAGGGGGAGGAGGAGGAGGGAGGCGGAGGAGGGAGGAGGAGGAGGAGGAGAGGAGGAGAGGAGGAGGAGGAGGAGGGAGGAGGAGGTGGAGGAGGAGGAGGGAGGCGGGAGGAGTGACAGAGGAGGGGAGGAGGAGGAGGAGGAGGATGAGGAGGAGGAGGTGGAGGAGGAGGAGGAGGAGGAGGAGGAGGAGGAGGAGGAGGAGGAGGAGGAGGAGAGGAGGAGGAGGAGGACGAGGACGAGGAGGAGGAGGAAGGAGAGAGGGAGGAGTGAAAGAGGAGGAGGGGGGGGGGATGGAGGAGGAGGAGGAGGAGGAGGAGGAGGAGGAGAGGAGGAGGCGGAGGGGAGGAGGAGGAGGAGGAGGAGGAGGAGAGGAGGGGAGGATGATGGATGATGATGATGATGATGATGATGATGATGATGATGATGATGATTGATGATGATGATGATGATGATGATAATGATGATGCTGATGATGATGATGAGGAGGAGGAGGAGGAGGAGGAGGAGAGGAGGGAGGAGGGAGGGGAGGAGGAGGAATTCCTGCTGGAGCGACGTCTTCCTCCCTCCTCCTCCCTCCTACGCCTCCCTCCCCCCCTCCGTCCGTCCGTCCTTTCCCCCGTCGACCGTCCCGTTCGCCCTCCGTCCTCCCTTCCTCCGGAGGGGCAACGTTGGGGGGTAACCATCTCACGAGGGCAAACATCGAGCTCGAATCGGCGATGCATCGCCGACAGATCGGCGACAAGGCCCCGATCGCAGATTCCCAATTCCCTGGGCGGGGTGGGGTATCGGGCCCCCGTCGGCGATTCATGGGCGATCGGGGGTCGATGCGTCCACCCGTGAGCCTACCCCCCCTGGCGTTGCCCCTGAGGAAAAGCTTCGGGCGGCGCCGTGGGCGTCGTCGTCGGCACCGTCGCTGCCGACGCCGTGGCCCCCCCCCAGCTGCTCGATCGCGGAGACGGCCTGGCAAAGGGCTTTTGGACGTGCTCGTCGGTTTCCCAGCGGTTTCCAGACTCGGGGCGCTCTCCAGCAGCTGCGCCTCGCCGAGAGCGCTCTGAGGGTGCCCGGGTCGCCCCGCGCGGCCGCCAGAGGCCCAAGTTATGGCCCGAATGCCACCTGGAGCTCAGACCCCTCGCGTCGCGAAACAAAAAACGACGGAACTGTTTCGCCAGACTCACGGGGCCCAGAAAGAGTTACTAAAACAACTCAGGATAAAAAAAAAAAACAGCTCCGTCTCCGTCCGTCGCCCCCGTCGGCGGCGCCAACGTCATCGTCGTCATCGTCGTCGTCGTCCTCCTCCTCTTCCTACTCCATCTCCTCCTCTCTCCAATCTTCCGTCCTCCCTCCCCGTGCTCAATAATACCCCCCTCCCACACAGCTCCTCGCTCCTCTTCCGTGTTCCTCTCGTCTGCTCCCTTCTCCTCGCTCCTCGCTCCTCCTTTTCTTCCTCTTCCTCCTCCTCCTCCTCCTCCTCCTCCTCCTCCTCCTCCTCCTCCTCCTCCTCCTCCTCCTCCTCCCCCATCCTCCTCTTCCTCCTCCTCCTCCTTCTCCTCGGATTCTGCTGTACTCCCATCTCAATCAGGTCCTGGCCATATATGGTCGACTCTTGAAGCCCAAGCCGGGACTCCAACTGTTGGCGTCTTTCTTTTCCTTTCGCTGCCTTCCACTGGCCTTCCGCCAACTTCCGCCGGGCAGAAGGCGCCCCCGGCTTACTCCTGCTGGCTTCCGCTGAAGGGCGAATCGAGCCGACGGCGAGGCACTGTCTGGAACGCTGCGCAGGGGAAGCAGCATGTTGAAAGGACACTTGTGCGCCAGAGGCGGTGAACACGCACCCGGTGCATCGAACCGCGGGAATCCGCGCTGCGGGGAACCGTGGCCCCGATGCAGTCGGGCGGCCATTCCCCCATAGGATCGATGATGATGATGATGATGATGATGATGATGATGATGATGATGATGATGATGATGATGATGCTGATGATGCTGATGATGATGATGATTTTGATGATGATGCTGCAACTGATGATGCTGCTGATGATGATGATGCTGATGGTGATCATGGTGATGTTGATGATGCTGATGCTGCTGATGAGGATGATGATGAGGATGATGATGATGATGGTGATGATGATGACGGTGGTGGTGATGATGATGCTGATTATGATGCTGCTGCTGATGATGATCGATGGTGATGGTGGTGATGATGGTGATGGTGATACTGACGATGATGATGATGATGCTGATGCTGATAATACTGATGGTGATGCTGATGATGTTGATGACGACGATGCTGGTAATGATGATGATGCTGATGATGATGGTGATGATGATGCTGTTGCTGCTGATGATGATGCTGATGATGATGATGACGAGGAGGAGGAGATAGAGAGGTATTGGGAATGTTTCCCAAATGCACCCCGACTGCCTTGGTCGGTTACACGCAAGAACGGTCCTCCCTGGGCAATAATGACCCTAGGCGAGAGTGACCTTCGTTGCCCGGCTTCTTGGCGACAGTGCTGCCAGCCACTGCCCACTTCTCGCCCGAGATGATGGCGCTATTGCAGCCGAAATTGCCAGTGCCGAATTTGGCTTGACCGAGCTCTCTGAGCAGCGGCAGCGCTTTCCCCTTCTCGCACGCGCCGACGCCAGCATCGCCACTGGCGATGGCGCTGGGCTCCAACTTTGCGCCCCCCCCCCCTCTTGCTGAGCAGCGCTCAAGCCCGTTGCCACTGCTCGTCCTTTTCGCACACGCTGATCCCAACATAGCAATTCATATAACGTAGGGGTCGCAACTCCGCCTCTCGCAACCCGCTGATTAACCGACTGGGCCTTCTGCCAAAGCCCACTCCGCGCGAGCTGTTCCCAGCGTTGAAGCTAAGTAGCTTGTGATATCGTGTCTGTGCAGCAGCGCGACGGTCGCAGAGTAGTAATTAGCTGGCTGCGTCCACACCCCCTTCAGCTTCCTCGCCTCGCTAAATGGCCACGAGGCCCGCGGCGGTACGTGATGACGTTGGGCTCCGATTTCGCCTCAAGCACCTCGCTGAGCAGCGCCAAAGTCCGCTGCCATAGCTCGCCCTTCTGGCACACAACTGACCTGACACGGCTGACCTGGCGACTGCTTGCACGAGGGCAAGGTCGGCGCGGCCGCTCGACCTGCAGCTGCTGGCTGCTGCTTGCTGCCGTGTGCTGGTATCTTGTGCCGCCCGCTGCGCCTTGCTGCGGCCTGCAGCTGATGCGTCAAAGACCCCAGAGCAGATCGGAGAGCAGCGGGCATGCTGCGCTGGACGCGAAGACTGGGCCTGTCAGGAGCGCCACCGGCCCGGCACAGGGAGGAGCCAGGGCCCGCCGAGGCCGATACAGCTGGCACGACTGGCCTGTTCTAGCACGCGGTGATTTCAATGCTGTAACTGGGTGGTGACGTCGGGCTCCACCTTCGCCTGGCACATCTCGCTGAGCAGCGATCGGGCTCGCTGCCACTGCTTGCCCTTATCGCACGCGCTGGTCCCAGCGCTGCAGCTGACTAGTGTGTACCCGTGGACCAAATCCGCAGGTGCCCTGGCAGAGGAGCGCGGCGGGGCCATCTCTGGGCCATCGTGGGTCGTCTTGGGCGCCCTTTGGCCGTCTTGGGGCTTTCCCTGAGCCGCCTTGCAGCCCTCTTGGGCCGTCTTGCAGCCTTGCAGGAGGCTCTGGGAGCAACTGGAGAACCTCGAGAAGTGGCCCAAGAGGGGCTCCAGAGGGCCAGAAGACGGCCTACAGAAAGCCGACGGATGCTGCAGCAAGGGGATGCGTTGTAACATCCGTTGGCAGCTTGGAGCTAGAACCCGCACGGACCGCAAGATCGCACGATCGGCGGCTATGAATCGCGAGATCGTTCACATTCGGGGCTTCCTGGGGGCCTGTCTGGGGCCTCAGGGGCCACTCTTGGGATACTTTGGGTGTCTGGGGCCTCTGGAATGTCTCTTGCGGTATTTTGGGCGCCTCTGGGGCTGTCTCCGGGCTGTCCCCCAGAGCCCCTGTGGAGGACAGCGCGGGGAGCTTATTCTGGCATCACCTTGGAGCCTTCCTGGGGCGTCCTTGGGGCTCTCACGGGCTCTGTGGGGACTCTCTTACAGGCGTCTTGGAGGGCACACGGGGCCCTTTTTGGGGCCGTCTTCGGGCGCTCTTGGGCCATCTCGGGTCACTCTTGGGAGCCGGATGGGCGCTGATGGAGCGATTCAGGAAGCGCTGGGAGCCGTCTGGAGCCGTTCTGGGAGCGAAGTGGGGGGAACCTGAGAATCCTTCAAAAATTATGGAACATCTGCGATTTTGAATTCGTGGGGCCGTTATCGGGGTCCTCTCGGGTGGCCTTGGGAGGCCTCCTGGCTTGTCTTGGGGCCGTTTTGGGCCATGATGAACATCATTTCGGGACATCTAGGGCCCTCCTGGAGCTCTCTCGAGCGTCTCTGGGCCATCGTTGGACGTCTTGGAGCCGTCGAACGACCGTCCAGGGCCGTCCAAGACCTCCCTGGGAGCACTGGGGCGCCCCAGGAGCGCTGGCAGCAGTCCTGGCCCGCTACCACTGCAGCGCGACCTCGCACGCACTGATTCGCGAATTGAAGTATAGACTAGGGCTGACCCGTGGACTACCGTCCACGACTGCCAAGGGTCAGAGTGCGCTTGCTGCTGCTCATCGCTTTATGGTGCGCTGTTTGCTTGATGATTCTGACGGCGCCCAGAGACAGGCTAGCAGTATCAGCGGCAGCAGATCCAGGGGCATGGGCAGTAGCAACAGCAGCAGCTCCAGCAGTAATAGCAGCAGTGCGGCTCCAGAAGCAGCGGCAGCAGCTCCAGCAGCAACGGCAGGAGCTCCTGTGGCGGAGGAGAGCGACGACGGGGAGGAGAAGGAGGAGGCCCAAGATGATCGAATCAAAACCACGCTCGGCGGGTGATTGGTCGCAGAAATAACGTTCCTGGATGTCCACGGCTGGATCTGACAGCTGTTTTCTGCAACCCCTCGGGGTGTGGCTTTCTCCAACCGCCTGGTGCTTCCTAGGAGCATGCCGGAGCTGTTGGGAGGGAGCTGCCAAAGGCATTCCGGGAGCCTCTGGTGTGTTGCTTTCCCTTTGGACTGGGGCGTTCTAGGCGGCCTGTGGTAGCACCCTGCACGGCGTGCAGACGCCTGCCGAGGGCACCTGGCAGCGAGAAGCCTGCCAGTGCAGCCGCATCCTCCTCTGGGCCCCCTAGCGTCGCGCACCGCGCCCCGCGGTGCGCGACGCACGGCATCATCTTCCCGCCCTCGCGCTGCTCCCCGGGGAAGGCCAGCTCGGCGGCCCCGGCCGCGATGCGTGCGGCGTGGTTCTCGTCGCGCCGCTGGGGTTGGGTCGGGCGAAAGGGGGGGATAGCAAAGGGGGGGGTTTGAGAATCAGCTCACGTAGCTGATTTTCCCGGCGCCTCCCGGCGCCGGAGGCGGCAAGGTATCGAGGAATGGGCCCCTCGGTGAGGCCGAAACCAGCTGCATGCAGCAAATTTCGTACCCCCCCCTTTCCCAATCCCCCCCTTTCGCCCGACCCGATGGGGGTGACCTAGATTCTTCGATGATTCTTGGCGCCTGCAAACTCCCGCGGGGCCTCTCGGGACCTCTCTCGCAGGGCTCTCCGTGTGAGCCGTGACGCACGGTCCCAGAGCGTCCGAGGCACGCATTGGGCCGAGCCGAAGCGCTCCAACGGGCACATGAGCGCCCAGGTCGGCGGCGAGGCCTGAGCGACTAGGACGATCGGGGGAGGGCCAGTCGAGATAACGGCGGCCCTCCCTGGCGTTTTTCGTTCCTTTTGGGGCCTCCTGGGGGCTTCTCGTCGCCAAGGCGGGATCCGTGTCGAAAAACGAGCCCAGTGGCGGAATTGGATCAGATTTGGGCAAGGATGGCCCTCCTCCGAGATGACGTTGGGCTCCAACGTCGCCTCTGGCATCTCGCTGAGCAGCGCCAAAGCGGGCTGCCACTGCCCGCACTTCTCGCACGCGCTGATTCCATACCTGTAGCTGAGGACGTTCGGCTTTAGCTTCGCCTCCGGCATCTCGCTGAGCAGCGCCAGAGCCCGCTGCCACTGCTCGCCCTTCTCGCACGCGCTGATCCCAGCGTTGTAGCTGACTAGGGCTGACCCGTGGACTCCGTCCACGACATCTTTCTGGAATGGTTCTCGGAAATCTACAAACACGGCGGCGGCTCGGGCGGCGGCAGCGAGACCGCGCCTTCGTGTCCGAGCTCTTGCAGCGCTCCAGCAGCTTGGCCTAGCGCACTGCTCGTTCACCCCCCTCCTATTGAGGACAGTTTCGAAGTCTCTCGGGGATGTGCGTCGAAGTCGAAGCCCATCTGAGGCGTCTCAGGAGCGCTTGGGGAAGGGCTCGGGAGACCATCGGGGAAAGCCACCGAAAGCGCAGGGGAGGCTCGCAAGGATCTACAGGGAGGGCCCAAGAGAGCTTCAAGAAGATTTGAAATTCTGTAAAATATTTAGAGAAACCGCTGTTGGGTCGGCCATCACCTCTGGGCGCGCCTTGATGGTGCGTTCCAGTCGCAACACCGCCAACGGGAGGGTTTGTTCGCCATGTCCTATTCTGTTCGCCCAGAGGGTCTGTGGAGGCCTTCGGGCGAACAGAACGGGACAGGGCAAGGAATGGGGAAGACTTGTCCGAATCTCCTGGGCCCCCCAGGTGCTCGTCCGAAGAATGCGGAGAGGTCCCAGGGTCATATCAATTGGCTGCTGTCCCAGGGGTCCGGTCTGCTTGGCCCGAAGAGTTTGCCAAGGCCCCTGGGGGAACAGAATGGCACAGCATATCGGGCAAAGGGGGGCGGTAGCTGGCCTGTCAGACCCGGCGTTCGTCTTCTGCCCAAGCGGCGCGGGGCCCACGGGCCCCAGGGTTGGCGGCCCGCTGGGTTTCCTCTTGTTCGCCCACAGGGTTGGAGGAGGCCTCCAGGCGAACAGAATGGGGCAGGACAATGAATGTGGGAGACTTGTCGCAAGCTCCCAGCCTCCCCAAGTGTGCGCCCGAAGGGTGTGGGGCCGCGTTGGCTCTCTCAAAGGGCCGTCTTGGAGCCGTCCATGCCCGTCTTGAGGGCGCCGTTTGCCGTGATGGGGCCGTCTTGGTTCGTCGTGGGCCCCTCATGGGCGCGTCCGTAGGCCGTCCTGGGCCCATCGGGGTCCTCGTGGGGCTGTCTTGGAGCCGTCTGGGACCGTGAGGGGGCCGCCTTGGAGTCGTCTTGGGCCCCTCCTGTGCGCCTCCTTGGGCCATCCTGGGCCCAGCAGGGGCCGTGTTGGCACCCTCTTGGGGCTGTCTTGGAGCCGTCTTGAGCCGTCGCAACGCGCCTTGGGTTGTGCTGGGTCCGTCTTGGCCCGTCTTGGGGCCTTCCTGGGCGTTTCCTCGGACCCTCCTGGGACTTTCTGGGGCCTCTTGGTGCATCGGACCGCCGAAACGGCGGGAAACGCAAAGGGTGTCACAGTAAACAATGGAAAATTAACGATTTTTGCCAGCTGGGGCTCTCTTGCCATCTTGGCCCGTCTTGAGGCCCCGACCGGGCGCGTCCTTGGGCCGTCCTGGGCGCACCCTCCTGGGACCGTCTTGGAATCGTCTTGGGCCGTCTTGAGCGCGCCTTGGGCCGTCCTGGGCCCGTCTGGGGCCGTGTTGGCACCCTCGCGGCGAGGAAGCTCGGAGGCGGGCTCGAGGCCTCTTTGGGGCCATTTTGGAAGCTGTTGGGGCCTCTGTTGGGGCCTCGTTTTGGGCTCCTTGGGAGCTTCCTGGGGCCTGTTCGGGGGATTCTTGGCGGCCCCTTGGGGCCTCTTGGGGGCCTGTTTGGGCCTCCTGGCGCCCTCTTGGGGCGGAAGGCTCGGAGTTTCGGTCCGTGGTCCTTCTCTTGGCCCCCTCTTGGGCCTGTCTTCGGGCCCTCGTGGGCCGTCTTGAGCGTCTCTTGGGTCGTCTTGGGGCCCTCTTGGGCTGTCTTGGGGCGCTCTTAGAAACCTCTTGGGCCGTTCTGGGGCGCTCTTGGAGGCCTCTTGGGCCGTCTTCGAGCGTCGGAAAGCGGAAAAGGCGAGAAGGCCAAAATCCTTCCAAAACCGTCGTAAAGCGGATGATGTTGAGGCCCAAAACCGTCCAAAACCTCCTGAGGCGGTCCCCTCGTCCGCCCCCCTCGCTTCGAAGCAGTTTTTAAGCCCCGTGGCACCTCTTGGGGACCTCTGTTGGGCTCCTGGGGGCCTCTTGGGCCTCTCTGGGCTCGTCTATCGCGCCCCTTGGGCTGTCTTGGGCCCCCTAGGGCCTTCTTGGGCGGTCCTCGGGCCGTCTTGGAGCCATCTTGGGCCGCTCTTCGGGCCATCTTGGGGTCCCGTTGGCCTGTCTTGGGCGCCTCTGGGGCCGTCCGGGGGCCGCCTTGGACCGTCTTGGGGCCCTCTTGGACCGTCTTGGGGTCCTCTTGGGGACCTCTTCGACCGTCTTGGAGCGGTCTTGGATGCCTCTGGGAGGGTTTCGGAGCGTCGGGAAGCCGAAAAAGCGAGGAAGCAAAAAACCTCGGGAAAACCAATGAAAATCAACGATTTTGGCCTCTCGGGCCTCTCCTGGGATGCCTCTTGGGAGGCCTATTGGGCCGTCTTGGCGAGCTCTGGGCGGTTCCTCGGGCCGTCTTGGAGCCATCTTGGGCCGCTCTTCGGGCCATCTTGGGGTCCCGTTGGCCTGTCTAGGGCGCCTCTGGGGCCGTCCGGGGGCCGCCTTGGACCGTCTTGGGGCCCTCTTGGACCGTCTTGGGGTCCTCTTGGGGACCTCTTCGACCGTCTTGGAGCGGTCTTGGATGCCTCTGGGAGGGTTTCGGAGCGTCGGGAAGCCGAAAAAGCGAGGAAGCAAAAAACCTCGGGGAAACCAATGAAAATCAACGATTTTGGCCTCTCGGGCCTCTCCTGGGATGCCTCTTGGGAGGCCTATTGGGCCGTCTTGGCGAGCTCTGGGCGGTCCTCGGGCCGTCTTGGAGCCATATTGGGCCGCTCTTCGGGCCATCTTGGGGTCCCGGTGGCCTGTCTTGGGCGCCTCTGGGGCCGTCCGGGGGCCACCTTGGACCGTCTTGGGGCCCTCTTGGACCGTCTTGGGGTCCTCTTGGGGACCTCTTCGACCGTCTTGGAGCGGTCTTGGATGCCTCTGGGAGGGTTTCGGAGCGTCGGGAAGCCGGAAAAGCGAGGAAGCAAAAACCTTGGGAAAACCAATGAACATCAACGATTTTAGCCTCTCGGGGCTCTCTTGGGAGGCCTCTTGGGAGGCCTATTGGGCCGTCTTGGGGAGCTCTTGGGCCGTCTTGGGCCAATCTTGGGCGTCTTGGCCGGATCATTGCGCGTCTCGGGGCCCTTCTGGGCCGCCTTCGGGGCATCTTGAGCGGCTCGGAGCCGTCTTTGGGCCGTCGGGGCGGCCTCTGGAGCGTCTCGGAGCCGTTTCCCGGCATTTGACTGGATTTCCTTCCGGCACGCGCTTCCTCCGGCCATATAGTATAGACTAGGGCGAACCCGTGGACTTCGTCCACGTCATCTTGGGCCAGTCTTGGCTCGAACAGGCCTTCTTGGGCCTGTCTTCGCTCGAAATGGCGAGAAGGTGGACATCTTTCAGAAACAATCGAAGAATCAATGATTTCGTTTGCCGCGGCTCGTTCGAGCGGTCTTGGGCCGTCTCGTGACGCAGCTGGTGCCCGCAGCGAGGCCTGGCGACCCAGGCACGTCTGCGACTCCTAACGACCGTGTTCTGGCCACCCCGCTTCCGCTGGCACCCGCCCTGCGACCCGCGCCACTCACCAAGCTCGAAAGCATCGCCTCAAAGCTGGGGCCCCATGGCGCCCAGCGGGGGCCTGGGGCGAGCGACGGCCGCAAGGGGAGGTTGGCGTGCAGGATCAGCCCCTCGTTGTTGAGGGCCGGAAGCTGGAGCAGGAACCACGCCTGTTCCTGCGCCACACCGCGGGCGCCAGGGCCGCGTGCTTCCACAGAAGCGTGGAGCGAGGATGGAGGAGAGAGGAGCTGTAAGGAATCTCTCAACGTCCCTCACGGGGGCCCTCTTGGGCCCTGTTTCGGGCCTCTTGGGATCTCTTGGGGCTTTCCCGCGCCAAGGAGGGCCTCAAAAGGGCTCCCTGGGCCATCTCGGGGGCTTGGCGGGGCTCTCCAGGCGGTCAAGGGGCCGTCTTGGGGGGGTCAGCGGGGCCCTGTTGGGACGGTACTGGCCCGTCGTGGAGCCGTCCAGAAGCTGCCCAGTGGGGCCATCCTGGGCGCGTCTGGGGCCATCCAGGAAACCGAGTTGTGCCTCTGAGGCTCTGTTGGGAGCCTCCGTGGCCGCCGCTGGAGCCATATTGAGGCGTCCTGCGAGCTATCTCGGCCAGCCTGGACCCCTTGAACAACTATCTTGACGATTGGGGGCAGTCCTGGAGGCCGTGTGGTGCCGTCTGGGGCCCTTGATACATTTGACACAGGCGTAGGGGGGCCTGACCACAGACATCCCCACTTCAACGCGTTGATCCCGCTACTGTTGTATAGATGCTGTTCGCCTCCAGCTTCACCTCGAACGTCTCCCTTAGCAGCGCCAGCGCGCGCTGCCACTGCCCGCTCTTCTCTAACGAGGTGGTCACAGTGCTGTAGCTGATGACATCGGCCTGCAACTTCGCCTCCCGCATCTCGCTGAGCAGCGCCAAAGCCCGCTGCCACTGCTCGCCCTTCTCGCACGCGCTGATCCCAGCGTTGTAGCTGACTAGGGCTGACCCGTGGACTCCGTCCACGACATCTGGCCGAGAGCATTCTTGGGGGAGCTACTCTCTGCGAAAACGTTTTTCTCGCTGCCTGGCGCGCAGTGCGCCCAACACCTGCTGGGCGTCTCATCGCGTCCGACTAGGTGTGCGCGCAGCGACCCAGGTTCAGGAAGGCCGGAACATTGGGCCAAAAGGTCTGACACAACGGAAGGGGCTCCTGGGGGGGGGGGCACCGGACGTGGCCATTTATGACAGCTGGGCCGTTTGACCCGCGAGGCTCTGGAACTGGAAGGCGAAGGCTCCGAGGTGATGGCAAGATGCCTGGAGGAGAGCGTGGATTCGACGGGGCGCCCGAGCGGTGCGAATGGCCAAGATGGCTCAAGATGGCGTTCAGAACGGTGAAAACGGCGAATGCTGCCCAAGATGTCGGGGATCCGAGCGGATCCGAGCGGCGCGAATGGCCAAGACGGTCCAAGATGGCTCTCAGAAGGCCTCCGAGGGCCACTATCGCTTACTGTAGGCTCGCTCTGGGCGCCGAAGGGCCCTGCGGACCATGCTTCTAAGAAAAAATGCTTGCAGACCCCTTTGGGGGCCACTTGACATGGCATGGTGACGTTTTCGTGTCGTGACGGCTCTGGTGGGTTGCATGCGCGGCTGACAGCTGGGCCGTTTGAGCCCGCGAGGCTCTGGAAGGCGAAGGCTCCGAGGTGATGGCAAGATGCCTGGAGGAGAGCGTGGATTCGACGGGGCGCCCGAGCGGTGCGAATGGCCAAGATGGCTCAAGATGGCGTTCAGAGCGGTGAGAACGGCGAATGCTGCCCAAGATGTCGGGGGTCCGAGCGGCGCGAATGGCCAAGACGGTCCAAGATGGCCTCCGAGGGCCACTATCGCATACTGTAGGCTCGCTCTGGGCGACAAAGGGCCCTGCGGAACATTTTTCTAAGAAAAAGTGCTTGCAGATCCCTTTGGGCGCCACTTGACATGGCATGGTGACGTTTTCGTGTCGTGACGGCTCTGGTGGGTTGCGTGCGCGGCTGACAGCTGGGCCGTTTGAGCCCGCGAGGCTCTGGAACTGGAAGGCGAAGGCTCCGAGGTGATGGCAAGATGCCTGGAAGAGAGCGTGGATTCGTCGGGGCGCCCGAGCGGTGCGAATGGCCAAGATGGCTCAAGATGGCGTTCAGAGCGGCGAGAACGGCCAACGCGGCCCAAGATGTCGGGGGTCCGAGCGGCGCGAATGGCCGAGACGGTCCAAGGTGGCTGTAAGAGGGCCTCCGAGGCCACTATCGCATACTGTAGGCTCGCTCTGGGCGCCAAAGGGCCCTGCGGAGAATTTTTCTAAGAAGAAATGCTTGCAGATCCCTTTGGGGGCCACTTGACATGGCATGGTGACGTTTTCGTGTCGTGACGGCTCCGGTGGGTTGCATGCGCGGCTGCTGGCCCAGTGACGACGACGGCGACGACGAAGACGACGACGACCCCACGGACCGAAATCCAGTAGAAGAGGCTTTGCAAACCATTGTGTTCTCCGATGTCTTCTGCATTGTCGCTTTTTGAAAGGTTTCCCCGTGCGTCCCTGGAAATGTGGGACACCCAATGTATCTGGAGTTGTCGTTGAAGGCCCCCTGCTGGGAGGACCGTTTCGGCGGTCATCAAATTCGGGCCTCTTGGAAGCCGTCTGGGGGCCTCTCGGGGATCATTGTTGGCCTGCTGGGGGACTCTTGGGGCCCTCTTTGGCTGTCTTGGATGCCTCTTGAGCGGTTTGGGGGCCGTCTGGGGCCCTGTGAAAACGGCTCTGTTGTGCCTGCGAGGTGCCTGTCGCCTCTCGTCCGCTCCCCCCCTCCTGGAGGCAAAGCTGAAGCCACTTAGGGTCCGTGGGAGCTGTTTCGGAGCCTTGTGGGACTTCATTTGGGCCGCCCAAGGGCTCGTAAGCTTCTCTTGGGCCGTCTTGGGTGCCTCTTGGGCCGTCTCGGGACCGTCTGAGGCCCGCGGGGGCGCCTCTTGCGCTGTCGTGGGCCGTCTGGGGCTTGGGGCCGTCTTAGGTGCCGCTTGGGCCGTCTTGGGCGCCTCCTGGGCCGTCCTTGGACTGTCTTGGGGCGTTTTGGGAACGTCTGGAGGCCCTCTTGGCCCGTCTTGAGGCCCTCTTGCGGGCCTCGCCGGTGGTCTTGGAGCGGTCTTGGGGACCTCTGGGGCCGTCTTGGAGCGCAGGGACGGCGAAAAGGGGAGAATGCGAAGAACATAGAAAAACACAATGGAAATCGACGATTTCTCCCGCTCGGGGCCCTGCTGGGAAGCCTCTTGGGGCATTTTGGCCGCCTCTGGTGCCGTCTTGGCCCAATCTTCGGCGTCTTGGGCCCATCTTGGGGCGTCCCGGAGCCCTCTGGGGCCGTCTTGGGGGCCTCTTGGGGCCCTCTTGGCGCGTCTTGGGCCTATATTGGGGCGTCCCGGGGCCCTCTGGGGCCGTCTTGGGGGGCCGTCTTGGGCTGTCTTGGGGCGTCTTGGGACCGTCTGGGGGCCCTCTTGGCCCGTCTTGAGGCCCTCTTGCGGGCCTCGTCGGTGGTCTTGGAGCGGTCTTGGGGACCTCTGGGGCCGTCTTGGAGCGCAGGGGCGGCGAAAATGGGAGAATGCGAAGAACATAGAAAAACACAATGGAAATCGACGATTTCTCCCGCTCGGGGCCCTGCTGGGAAGCCTCTTGGGAGGCCTCTTGGGGCATTTTGGCCGCCTCTGGGGCCGTCTTGGCCCAATCTTCGGCGTCTTGGGCCCATCTTGGGGCGTCCCGGAGCCTTCTGGGGCCGTCTTGGGGGCCTCTTGAGGCCTTCTTGGCGCGTCTTGGCCCTCTGGGGCCGTCTTGGGGGCCTCTTGGGGCCCTCTTGGCGTGTCTTGGGCCTGCTACGCCATTTGACCAGAATCGCCCTTCTCGCACGCGCGGGGCCCTGCATTGTAGTATAGACTAGGGCTGACCCGTGGACTCCGTCCACGACATCTTCCTGGAATGGTTCTCGGAGGAACGGCGCAGATTGTACCGAAAATCTACAAACACGGCGGCGGCTCGGGCGGCGGCAGCGAGACCGCGCCTTCGTGTCCGAGCTCTTGCAGCGCTCCAGCAGCTTGGCCCAGCGCACTGCTCGTTCACCCCCCTCCTATTGAGGACAGTTTCGAAGTCTCTCGGGGATGTGCGTCGAAGTCGAAGCCCATCTGAGGCGTCTCAGGAGCTCTCGGGGAAGGGCTCGGGAGGCCATCGGGGAAAGCCACCGAAAGCGCCGGGGAGGCTCGCAAGGATCTACAGGGAGGGCCCAAGACAGCTTCAAGAAGATTTGAAATTCTGTAAAATATTTAGAGAAACCGCTGTTGGGTCGGCCATCACCTCCGGGCGCGCCTTGATGGTGCGATCCAGTCGCAACACCGCCAACGGGAGGGTTTGTTCGCCATGTCCCATTCTGTTCGCCCAGAGGGTCTGTGGAGGCCTTCGGGCGAACAGAACGGGACAGGGCAAGGAATGGGGAAGACTTGTCCGAATCTCCTGGGCCCCCCAGTGCTCGTCCGAAGAATGCGGAGAGGTCCCAGGGTCATATCAATTGGCTGCTGTCCCAGGGGTCCGGTCTGCTTGGCCCGAAGAGTTTGCCAAGGCCCCTGGGGGAACAGAATGGCACAGAATATCGGGCAAAGGGGGGCGGTAGCTGGCCTGTCAGACCCGGCGTTCGTCTTCTGCCCAAGCGGCACGGGGCTCACGGGCCCCAGGGTTGGCGGCCAGCTGGGTTTCCTCTTGTTCGCCCACAGGGTTGGAGGAGGCCTCCAGGCGAACATAATAAGGCAGGACAATGAATGTGGGAGACTTGTCGCAAGCTCCCAGCCCCCCAAAGTGCGCGCCCGAAAGGTGTGGGGCCGCGTTGGCTCCCTCAAAGGGCCGTCTTGGAGCCATCTAGGCCCGTCTTGAGGGCGCCGTTTGCCGTGATGGGGCCGTCTTGGTTCGTCGTGGGCCCCTCATGGGCGCGTCCGTGGGCCGTCCTGGGCCCATCGGGGTCCTCGTGGGGCTGTCTTGGAGCCGTCTGGGACCGTGAGGGGGCCACCTTGGAGTCGTCTTGGGCCCCTCCTCTGCGCCTCCTTGGGCCGTCCTGGGCCCAGCAGGGGCCGTGTTGGCACCCTCTTGGGGCTGTCTTGGAGCCGTCTTGAGCCGTCGCAGCGCGCCTTGGGTTGTGCTGGGTCCGTCTTGGCCCGTCTTGGGGCCTTCCTGGGCGTTTCCTCGGACCCTCCTGGGACTTTCTGGGGCCTCTTGGTGCATCGGACCGCCGAAACGGCGGGAAACGCAAAGGGTGTAACAGTAAACAATGGAAAATTAACGATTTTTGCCAGCTGGGGCTCTCTTGCCATCTTGGCCCGTCTTGAGGCCCCGACCCGGCGCGTCCTTGAGCCGTCCTGGGCGCACCCTCCTGGGACCATCTTGGAATCGTCTTGGGCCGTCTTGAGCGCGCCTTGGGCCGTCCTGGGCCCGTCTGGGGCCGTGTTGGCACCCTCGCGGCGAGGAAGCTCGGAGGCGGGCTCGAGGCCTCTTTGGGGCCATTGGGGCCTCATTTGGGCTCCTTGGGAGCCTCCTGGGCCTCTTCGGGGGATTCTTGGCGGCCCCTTGGGGCCTCTTGGGGGCCTGTTTGGGCCTCCTGGCGCCCTCTTGGGGCGGAAGGCTCGGATTTTCGGTCCGTGGTCCCCCTCTTGGCCCCCTCTTGGGCCTGTCTTCGGGCCCTCGTGGGCCGTCTTGAGCGTCTCTTGGGTCGTCTTGGGGCCCTCTTGGGCTGTCTTAGGGCGCTCTTAGAAACCTCTTGGGCCGTTCTGGGGCGCTCTTGGAGGCCTCTTGGGCCGTCTTCGAGCGTCGGAAAGCGGAAAAGGCGAGAAGGCCAAAATCCTTCCAAAACCGTCGTAAAGCGGATGATGTTGAGGCCCAAAACCGTCCAAAACCTCCTGAGGCGGTCCCCTCGTCCGCCCCCCTCGCTTCGAAGCAGTTTTTAAGCCCCGTGGCACCTCTTGGGGACCTCTTTTGGGCTCCTGGGGGCCTCTTGGGCCTCTCTGGGCCCGTCTATCGCGCCCTTGGGCTGTCTTGGGGCCCCCTAGGGCCTTCTTGGGCGGTCCTCGGGCCGTCTTGGAGCCATCTTGGGCCGCTCTTCGGGCCATCTTGGGGTCCCGTTGGCCTGTCTTGGGCGCCTCTGGGGCCGTCCTGGGGCCGCCTTGGACCGTCTTGGGGCCCTCTTGGGCCGCTCTTCGGGCCATCTTGGGGTCCCGTTGGCCTGTCTTGGGCGCCTCTGGGGCCGTCCTGGGGCCGCCTTGGACCGTCTTGGGGCCCTCTTGGACCGTCTTGGGGTCCTCTTGGGGACCTCTTGGACGGTCTTGGAGCGGTCTTGGATGCCTCTGGGAGGGTTTCGGAGCGTCGGGAAGCCGAAAAAGCGAGGAAGCAAAAAACCTCGGGAGAACCGATGAAAATCAATGATTTTGGCCTCTCGGGCCTCTCCTGGGTTGCCTCTTGGGAGGCCTATTGGGCCGTCTTGGGGAGCTCTTGGGCCGTCTTGGGCCAATCTTGGGCGTCTTGGCCGGATCATTCCGTGTCTCGGGGCCCTCTTGGGCCGCCTTCGGGGCATCTTGAGCGGCTCGGAGCCGTCTTTGGGCCGTCGGGGCGGCCTCCGGAGCGTCTCGGAGCCATTTCTAGTCATTTGGCTGGATTTCCTTCCGGCACGCGGTTCCTCCGGCCATATAATATAGACTAGGGCGAACCTGTGGACTTCGTCCACGTCATCTCGGGCCAGTCTTGGCTCGAAAAGGCCGTCTTGGGCCTGTCTTCGCTCGAAATGGCGAGAAGGTGGACATCTTTCAGACACAATCGAAGAATCAATGATTTCGTTTGCCGCGGCTCGTCTGGAGCGTCTTCGAGCGGTCTTGGGCCGTCTCGTGACGCAGCTGGTGCCCGCAACGAGGCCTGGCGACCCAAGCACGTCTGCGACTCCTAACGACCGTGTTCTGGCCACCCCGTTTCTGCTGGCACCCGCCCTGCAACCCGCGCCACTCACCAAGCTCGAAAGCATCGCGTCAAGCTGGTGCCCCATGGCGCCCAGAATCAGCGCCAACTGCCACTCGTCCTTCTCGCACGCGCTGATCCCAGCGCTGTAACTAATAACATCAAGCTCCAACTTAACCTCCCACATCTCGCTGAGCAGCGCCAAAGCTTGCTGCCACTGCCTGCCCTTCTCGCACGCGCTGATCCCAGAGTTGCAGACGACTGCGGTTGGCCCGTGGACCAGCGGCCACAAATCCTGTTGTCTTCACTGGCACGTGACGAGCGAACTGCTGCCCGAAAGCTCTCATGGTGAGATTGGGCTCCCGCCCGACGTCGTCAAACAAACCTCACCTGCCCGACGCTGCTGCGGCGACCTGTGCTGCTGCTGGCTCTGCTACTTGTCCAGTCTTGAATATTGATGCCCTTGTGTTAGGTCGGGCATGTCCTCCTACAGACAGATTTTTACCTAACAGCGAAGACTGATAGGTTTCTAATGGTGTCAAAAGACAGCATCATGACTCCCCAGGGGGGTCTGGGCGGGATCCGGGCGGGATCCGCGGGAATCCGGACCCTACATTTTTAGCCAACAGTAACGCACTTCGTGGCCTTCGAGTTCCCAAAGTCCACTCCTGGGCATGATTTTGAATGCCCGGAGCCAACTGTAGGCTACTTCGTGGTCTTCGAGTTTCGAGAACTCCATTCCTGGGCATGATTTTGAATGCCCGGGGCCAACTGTAGGCCACTTCGTGGTCTTCGAGTTCCCAGAAGTCTATTCCTGGGCATGATTTTGAATGCCCGGAGCCAACTGTAGGCCACTTCGTGGTCTTCGAGTTCCCAGAAGTCCATTCCTGGACATGATTTTGAATGCCCAGAGACAACTGTAGGCCACTTCGTGGTCTTCGAGTTCCCAGAAGTTTATTCCTGGGCATGATTTTGAATGCCGGGAGCCAACTGTAGGCCACTTCATGGTCTTCGAGTTCCCAGAAGTTTATTCCTGGGCATGATTTTGAATGCCCGGGGCCAACTGTAGGCCACTTCGTGGTCTTCGAGTTCCCAGAAGCTTATTCCTGGGCATGATTTTGAATGCCCGGGGCCAACTGTAGGCCACTTCGTGGTCTTTGAATTCCCAGAAGTCCATTCCTGGGCATGAGTTTGAATGCCCAGAGCCAACTGTAGGTCACTTCGTGGTCTTCGAGTTTCGAGAACTCCATTCCTGGGCATGATTTTGAATGCTGAGGCAGGCTGAGGCTGAGGCTGAGGCAGGCTGATGCTGAGGCAGGCTGAGGCTGAGGCTGAGGCTGATGCAGGCTGAGGCTGAGGCAGGCTGAGGCTGAGGCCGAGGCTGAAGGCAGAGGCTGAGGCTGAGGCTGAAGGCAGGCTGAGGCTGAGGCAGAGGCAGGCTGAGGCTGAGGCTGAGGCTGATTGAGGCTGAGGCCTGAGGCTGAAGGCAGACTGAGGCTGAGGCTGAAGCAGGCTGAGGCTGAGGCTGAGGCAGGCTGAGGCTGAGGCTGAGGCAGGCTGAGGCTGAGGCAGGTTGAGGCTGAGGCTGTGACTGCGACTGCCGTTGCCACTGCGGCTGTCATCGCGAATGCGACTGCGACTGCGAGAACAGCAGAATTCTACAACTGGATTCTCGCCTGAATCTTAATGGGGATGCTTCCAGATATGCTCCTACGCATCGCTGTTAGGTTGCTTTGCCGGGATAATGGAAAAACGATGAGCCATGGTGAAATTGAGACAAAACTGATACAACAAATAACCGAACCATCGTCACCCGATTATTTCTGGATTATTCTTGGGTGCTCCTCCTGCAGAGGGACGTGCCCGACGTAACCGTTGTGGGGCCCTCTTGGGGATGTCTCGGCGCTTTCCTGGGCTTCCTGCTGGTGCCATACCTCTACTTGCTGGCTCTGCCGCTCGCCTGCTGCGGCCGGCCTGTGGCTCGTTCTGCCCTGGCGTCCTCTCTGGGCCCTCTCGTTGCGACAACCCCGATGACCTTCTTTGGGCAGTCTTGGGGGCTCTTGTGAGGACTCCTGGGGGGGCCACCTGAACCACGATCAAAAAGCGTGTCTTGCGCGAGCTGGCACAGCGACCCTACGCGGCGGCTGACGCGGGCCGCCAGCGCGGCACGCTGCACTGGAGAGGCGGGCGCTTACGCGCGACCTCACGCGGGCAGCTTACGCGCCAATGTCGGCGCAAGCGGCCCCGTGTTTTTCGCCGCTCATTTCGAACCCTCGGCAAACTTGTCTTCAAACATTGTGGGCGCCCCTTTCGCCCCTTCAATATCGCCCCCGTCCATGTCGAAGCAGAGCGAACCGCGGTCTGGGCCAGCGCGACTCGGAAGCTCCATGCTGACCGACATAGAAAAGGCGGTGCCAACACGCACTTCGCCTGCGATGTCACTCATGCCCAGAGCATCAAGTCTACGAGGATATTGCGACGCGCACGTTCAGGGGTGAACGGACTCATCTGGAGCTGAAGATGTGGAGAGTACGGCACGTGTACGAGCTCCGAACTGCTTTCGACGATCCCCGCTGGAGCCAGCACTGGGACGCCTGAGGCCCTGGGAAGGGCCTGCCGCACACGTGCTGGGGCCTCGTGGGAGTGCCTGGGGCTGTCGTCGAAGGCCTGAGGGGGGGGGGGGGGCATCTCTGGCTCGATGTGGGGACCGCGGATGACGTGCATCTCGGAGGGTGGTGGTGGGAAGCGAGGGGGGTGAGGAGGCGGAGAGGAGAGAGGAGGAGGAGGAGGAGGAGGAGAGGAGGAGGAGGAGGAGGAGGAGGAGGAGGAGGAGGAGGAGGAGGGGGAGGAGGAGGAGGAGGAGAGGAGAGGAGGAGGAGGAGGAGGAGGAGGAGGAGGAAGAGGAGGAAGAGGGGAGCAGGAGGAGGGGGAGGAGGAGGAGGAGGAGGAGGAGGGAGCGGAGGAGGAGGAGGAGGGGGGAAGGAGGAGGAGGAGGAGGAGGAGGAGGAGGAGGAGGAGAAGAGGAGGGGGAGGATTAGGAGGCAGGAGGAGGAGGAGGAGGAGGAGGAGGAGGAGGAGGAGGAGGAGGAGGAGGAGGGGGAGGAGGAGGAGGAGGAGGAGGAGGGGGGGATGAGGAGGAGGAGGAGGAGGAGGAGGAGGAGGAGGAGGAGGAGGAGGAGGAGGAGGAGGAGGAGGAGAAGCAGGAGGAGCGCAGGAGCAGGGGGAGGAGAGGGAGGAGCCCGTGGCCCTCCGGGGGCCTCGGAGCTGTCCAGGGAGGGGCCCGCCGTGGCCCTCCGAGGGTCGGCTCGAGACCGGGGCCTTCCCCGCGCGCACGGGCCCCAGACTTGTGCAGGCGAGGACTCGGGCTGGGCGAAAGGGGGGGATAGCGAAGGGGGGGTTTGAGAATCAACTCACGTAGCTGATTCTCCCAGCGCCTCCCGGCGCCGGGAGGCGCCCATGTATCGAGGAACGGGCCCGGCGGCGGGGCCGAAACCAGCTGCATGCAGCAGATTTCGTGCCCCCCCCTTTCCCAATCCCCCCTGTCGTCCGGCCCGAATGACGTCGGGCTCCAGCTGTGCCTCTCGCATCTCGCTGAGCAGCGCTCCGGCGCGCTGCCACTGATCGCCCTTCTCGCACGCGCTGATGCCAGCGGCGTAGCTGACGAGCGCGCCTGCGTGGATGGAGTCATCGGGGGGCAGCGCAAGCCTCCTGCTACAGGCTCGAGACTGGTTGCTGCTGCTGCTGCAGGTGTGCGCTGCTCGCGGCGACTGGCTGCTGTGGGCCACTGCTTGCTGAAGCTTGCTGCTGCTGCTGCTGCTGCTGCTGCTGCTGCTGCTTGCTGATGTTGCCTGCCGATTCTTCGTGCCGCGTCTTGCTGCTGTCTATTCCTGCTGCCGTTGCTTATCGTTGCTGTTGCTTGTGGCTGGTGATTGCTGCTGCTTGCTGGTGATTTCATATCCGGGGTGTTGCTGCTGGCTCTGCTGCTTCCCTGTCGTGTTCGCCGGCCTGTGCAGTCTTGAATCTTGATGCCCTTTTGGTGCTGTCTTGCGGCTTTCTTGGGCTTGCTGCTGCTGGTGGTCCTGTCTTGATCTCTTTTCGGGGCCCTTCGAGAGCCAATGCTGCCAGGGCCATACTTTGCTCTCTTGGGGCCACGGTCGGGGATTCTCGGGGCCACGGCCTCGCGGGGCCCTCGTCGGGATCTGGGGGTCTTCCGGAAGTGTCTGTGGGCCGTGATCGGGCGGTCTTGGAGCAGTCATGGCGCCTGTGGGTCATTTGTGGGGCGCTTTGGGCCCTCTTGTGGGCCTCTTCGGCCCTGTCGAAGTGCCTGGGGCTGGTTGTAGAGCCATCTTGAGCTGAACGGTGGATACTGCTTGAATCGAAGGAAACTGTGGAACATGGGTTCACACGGCTTTCGCCTCCTTTTGTTTGACCATCTTCGGATCAATTTGACGCAATGTTGGGTTGTCCTGGGAAGTCTTGCCCCGTCTTGGACTCGTCCTGGAGGCTGTCTCGGTTAGCCTGGGGCCCCGCAGAGCCGTCTGATGCCGTCTGGGACGGAGGGGACCTTGCCTCTCGGAGGCAGTCTCGCAGGGGCTGATCCTGGCACTGTGGTGGAGATGACGTCGGGCTCCAGCTTCGTCTGCCATATCTCGCTGAGCAACGCCAAAGCCCGCTCCCACTGCTCGCCCTTCGCGCACGCGCTGATCCCAGTGTTGTAGCTGACTAGGGCAGACCTGTGGACTCCGTCCACGACATCAGCTCGACGTGGCGAGGGGTCTCTGGGCAAGCGCGGGGGGGTGCGGCTGCAGGGCCGAAAGGCAATCATGATGGCGTCGGGCTCCTCCTCCTCCTCCTCCTCCTCCTCCTCCTCCTCCTCCTCCTTTTCCACCTTCTTCTCCTCTTTCGCTGGATTCTCCATGCCCTCGGTCGGCAATCGTCGATCCTACGAGGACTCTCCCCAACAGAGAAACATCGAAGGCCCTCGGAGCGTCCAACATTGTTCTTTTGTGCCTTCGATATGCCGGTCGCCTCTCGTCCGCTCCCCCGCTCCTGGAAGGAATTCTGAAGGCACTGAAGGCTTCGTAGGGGCCGTTTCGGAGCCTCTTCGGCCTTCGTTTGGGCCTCGCGGGGGGGCTCTTAGGGCTCTCTCGGGCCGTCTTGGGTGCCTCTTGGGCCGTCTTCGGGCCATCTGAGGCCCTCCTTGGCGCCTCTTCGGCTGTCGTGGGCCGTCTTGGGCCGCTCCTGGGGCCGTCTTGGGTGCCTCTTGGGCCGTCTTGGGCGCCTCCTGGGCCGTCCGGACGCCGTCCTGCGGCGTCTTGGGACCGTCTTGGGGCCCTCCTGGCCCGTCTTGGGGCTCTCTTGGGGTCCTCTTCGGCCGTCTTGGAGCGGTCGGGGGGGCGTCTTGGGCCGTCTTGGAGCGTCGGGAAGCCGACGAGGCGAGGAGGCCAAAAACATTGAAAAACACAATAGAAATCGACAATTTCTGTCGCTCGGGGCCCTCTTGGGAGGCCTCTTCGGGCGTCTTGGACGCCTCGAGGGCCTCCTGGGGCGAATCTCGGACGTCTTGGGCGCTCTTGGGCTGTCTTGGGCCGTCTTGGGCCGCTCCTGGGGCCGTCTTGGGTGCCTCTTGGGCCGTCTTGGGCGCCTCCTGGGCCGTCCTGGGGCCGTCCTGCGGCGTCTTGGGACCGTCTGGGGGCCCTCCTGGCCCGTCTTGGGGCTCTCTTGGTATCCTCTTCGGCCGTCTTGGAGCGGTCGGGGGGGCGTCTTGGGCCGTCTTGGAGCGTCGGAAAGCCGACGAGGCGAGGAGGCCAAAAACATTGAAAAACACAATAGAAATCGACGATTTCTGTCGCTCGGGGCCCTCTTGGGAGGCCTCTTGGGAGGCCTCTTCGGGCGTCTTGGACGCCTCGAGGGCCTCCTGGGGCGAATCTCGGGCGTCTTGGGCGCTCTTGGGCTGTCTTGGGCCGTCTTGGGCCGCTCCTGGGGCCGTCTTGGGTGCCTCTTGGGCCGTCTTGGGCGCCTCCTGGGCCGTCCTGGGGCCGTCCTGCGGCGTCTTGGGACCGTCTGGGGGCCCTCCTGGCCCGTCTTGGGGCTCTCTTGGGGTCCTCTTCGGCCGTCTTGGAGCGGTCGGGGGGACTTCTTGGGCCGTCTTGGAGCGTCGGAAAGCCGAAGAGGCGAGGAGGCCGAAAACACCGAAAAACACAGTAGAAATCGACGATTTCTGTCGCTCGGGGCCCTCTTGGGAGGCCTCTTGGGAGGCCTCTTCGGGCGTCTTGGACGCCTCTTGGGCCGCCTGGGGCGAATCTCGGGCGTCTTGGGCCCATCTTTAAGCGTGCCGGGGCTCTCCGGGGCCGTCTTGGGGGCTTCTGGGGGCCCTCCCGACATGTCCTGGAGCCTGCCTGGGCGGCCCGGGGCGGCCTGGAGCCAGCCCGGGGCGGTTTTGGTGCATTGGAGCCTGCGCCCTTCTGGCACGCACTGGGCCCTGCAATGTAGTAGAGACTAGGGCTGGACCGTGGCCTACCGGCCACAGAACCTGTCCGAGATGGCAGGTTGGGCCAGGGCAGTGTTGCCGAGAGACTTTCGTGATGACGTCGTGCCCGAACTTCGCCTCTGCTGTTGCTGCCTGCAGCTGTAGGGTGCTGCTGCATGTGGCATGCTGCTGCTTCTGCGAACTTTGGCTGTGCCGCCGCTGCTGTGCTGCGGACTGCTGCTGTTCGCTGCTGCTACTTGAGGCTGCAAAAAGTTTTTTACCTAACAGCGAAGACTGATATGTTTCTAGTGGGGTAAAAAGAGCTCACAGATCACTCCACAGGGGGGTCCGGGCAGGTGTTGGGAGTTGCCGGGCGGCAGGGTGCCGGGCTCGTTTTTCGCCAACAGTCACACACTTCGTGCTCTTCGACTTCCCAGAACTCCATTCCCAGGCTCATTCTGAAGGGCCGGATGCAACAGTCACACACTTCGTGCTCTTCGAGTTCCCAGAACTCCATTCCCGGGCCACATTCTGGAGGGCCGGATGCAACAGTCACACACTTCGTGCTCTTCGAGTTCCCAGAACTCCATTCCCGGGCCACATTTGGATGCCTTCGTGCTCTTCGAGTTCCCAGAACTCCATTCCCGGGCCACACTAGGCCACTTCGTGCTCTTCGAGTTCCCAGAACTCCATTCCCGGGCCACATTTTGAATGCCCGGAGCCAACTGTAGGCCACTTCGTGCTCTTCGAGTT